TGATGAATAAATAATTTCAAAAGTATATCTAAGTTTATACTGATTCTCCCATACTAGGTTTGTATTATACTACAAATACCCTTACATATTATATTTTTATTACAATTCTCTATAATATCTTTGGTACTTCTGAAGTTTAAAATTAAGTATAAACTTATTAAGCAATAAAGTATTAATATATATTTGTATTTGTGCTCCCTGTTACTATATTCTAATTTTCATTTTTTGGACAATTTTCCATTAATGATGATGTTCCTCCTATTTATTATTATAAGTTATAATTATTAAAGTAAAATTATTTTGAGAATTGTTATATTCTATAATAAGTTGATTAACTCAATTTTGAAAATCTCCATTTTGTTATCTATAATCATTTAATATCTTGCTATAATTGTATTATTTGAGCATCTCGATCATCTTGTTGCTTTATAATATTATCTAAATTCTAGTCTATTTTTTGATAATTAGTCTGAATAATATTTAAAGTACTGTACATATTCTAAACAATATTAGCAGAATTATTTAATAATATACCATGTTCTTTGAAATAATTTTTAAGCTATTAATCACCTAGTAATATTATTACTATTGCATATAAAAGTATTTCAAAATGGTAATAGTAACTATATTCACAGCAATTTACTTTGAGTTTTATAATTAAATGATATTTATAATAATAGAATAGTATTTTTTGACAAGATAAAGATGATGATAATAAAACTAAACTATTAATAAGACTAACTAAAAGGAAATTTAACCAAAAACTACTTTTAATTTCAAAATAAAATTAATTTAACATGTCAAACTCAATATTAAACCAAAAAAACTCAAAACTAAAACTTAAAAACTTAAAAACTTAAAACTAAAACTGGAGAACTTAAACTGAACTAAAAAAACTTGATTTTTATTAATTATCAGCACTTGTATTTATATATATTTTTATGTTACAGTAATACAGTAATACGCAGTATGATACAGTTATAGCACAGCATGTGATATAGTAGATTTATGCTAATATTATAAAATTACTGGTTCTCTTCTAAATTACACAAAATTTAACTATATTATAATCAATAATCTTGTTCTATATCTGAGTATCAATAGTAAAAATAGAAAATAAAAGCTAACTAATATAGAAAATGATAAATTTGCCAAGAAAATAGTGTGATTAATATATCTAATTAAAGATAATAATGAAATAAATATAGAAAAATAAGTGATACAAGAAAAAAAAAGAAAATAGAAAGAAATAGAAAGAAGTAGAAAGAATATTATCAAACTAATTATATAATTCAAATATTATTATAACTAATTTTTATTATAGTTGCATCTTCTATTCATATATTCTCATATTAAATTATTGATGATATTAAATTGGTGACAGGATCCTTAACTTTAAGAGATTTGCTCCACAAATCAATTATTATTGATTATTATAACTGGTTTTAATTTGTTAAATTTGATATATAACTTTATATAATTATTACTATAAGAATTTTTTAATATCTTTTCATTCAATGTACAAAGTTTGTATATATTTTTATCAAAAATATTATAAATATAAAAGAGATCTTTTCATTTTTCACCAAATTTTTTGTAATACTAATTTTGAGTTTCCATTTATTTTATCAAAACTTTTTGTTCAATTTGAAATGAGATTGCTATTTTCTTTTTGTTGTACTGCTCTTTTGCACTTTTTAAATATTACTAAGAGTTATTTCATGAGTTACTTTCAATTCATCGATGATTTTGCATGTTCTCTTGACAATGACTTCTTCTATTAAAATTTCTTCATTATCCAAATCTTTAAGTTGTAATTCAAGTGATGTAATGACTTGATAACCATAAACTAACTGAAAAGATTCAAATTTTATTATGTCTTACTTCATTATTCTATATGTAAACAAAACTAATAATAGATAATAATTCTAATCTTTCTTATAAAGTTGAACAAATTTTGATAATAAAGTGCAAAGTGTGCAGTTTAATCTTTCAATAAGTCTATTGATTTGAGAGTAATAGGATGTAGATAATTAATATTTGATTTAATATTTTTCCAAAAGTTCTTTGATGATTTCATTAACAAAAGTAGCATCTCAATCACTTAATAATTCACATGAAAATTATGTCTCATAACAATATTTTCATAAAAAAATATAATTGATTGTGCTGATGTATTTTTGATTGCTTGCACTTCTACCCATTTGATTAAATAATCTATGATAACTATAATATATTAATTTCTATTAATAATGACTGGTAAGAGACCTATAAGATCAATTCTAACTTTTTTGAATGGTTCTTTTATGGTGATTGGTGTTAAAATATTATTTTTATGCAGTTGTTCTTTTCATTGACAGATGTCACATGTCTTAATATAAGCTTCAATATCTTAATATATTTGGAACCAATAATACAAGCCATAAAATTGGAAGAGATGGAAGAAGAAAAAATAATTACTTTGAAAATAGTTGTACATTATTTTGTTGTATTGTTCTCATTAATTTAAAAATTGTTGAAATTAATAAGCTAATAAAGTAATATAATAATGAAAGAACAAAAACTGAATGAATTATAATTAATGGGATTTACTAAAGATTCTAAAGATTTTCTATGATAGCTTGTATGCAAACTAATTAAATATTATTAATAAAGAATAAAAATGAATAGAAAAATAAAGTAAAAAGATAAAATAAATTAAAAGAATTAACAAATAGTTTTAAAGTAAAAAACAGGACTTATTGAAGATGTCTAATAAAATAAATTAACAATTGAACTTATTGAGACTATCAATTATGAGATATAATCAAAAATAATCAAATAGAACTTATTGAAACTATCTAAAAGTAATAAAACAAAAGTAATAATGTCAATGACTTATTTAAAGTGAAGGAGCATCCACTACTTGTAATTTCAAAATTTGAAGATAATTCACAAAAATAATAGTGTATTTATAAGTAAAATATTACTAGTAAGAACTTTGTTATTTATTAGATAAAAGGATTAGAGCATGAAAGTTTCTAGCAACAAGAGATTCTTTTTTTATACATTTTCAATCTTTTACACAATTTACATAACTAATGACTATTCTAAACTATATCACAATTTACATATAATTTTAACAATACAAAAGGAGTATAAATATTAAAAAATTGCACAAATTCATTAACAAGAAAATACAAAGAAAATTAGTTGTAATTTTAGTAATTAAAGATAAGAAAAAGCAAGAGTTTGAGTAAAAAGAAGGGTTATATAGAAAGAAACAATAGTACGAACATGATTATTGATAATTATAACAAAGAAATTATGAGATAAAAAGAATAATTATAACAAGAATGAAAAATAAAATAAAATAAATATATAAATGATTGATTAAAAATAATGAAATAAAAAGATAAAAATAAATGTAATAGGAATATAGATGAGATAAACCAATAATAAAAATATAAGTTTTATAGTAAAAAATACAAAAATAAATAATTTTAATGCAACAGTAAAAGAAAATAAAACAAAAAGTATACAAAAATGTGATTAATATTTATGTATTATGATCTAGATATCAAAAAGATAATAATATATACTAAATATAATTGTGTAATGGGATATAATGTAAAAATAAAGAGACAAATTAATTTGATCATTATTGAGTTACATGATATAATATTTAATGTTCTTTGTAATACATCTTAATTTTTGTTGATCAATAATTAAGTAATTATAAATTTTTTGATAAAAATGATAACAGTATGTCATTTTGATTTCAAAATGTTCAGCAATTAAGTCTGAATAATTATTAAATAATATATTTTCCACTTCTGTTAACTTTATGACTTGTAGTGGATGCTCAATATCCAATTTATTCTGCTTGAATAGTTTGTAATAATTAATGAAGTATTATTTTAATTCTGCCAGCAGTCATTTCCATTTGTTCTTTGTATAATTATCTGACACAGTGAAAGAATTTAAATATTTATAAATGTTAAAGTAGTTTTTCAAATTCATTTAATAATATTATTGCTTTCTGATGTGTATTGTATTTGGAAGAGTGAATCAATATTTGAATGGATTTGTCCAGATTTGTGTTTGATATTAAAATTATACTCTCATAATGCAATTATCCATCATGCAAGTCTTCCAGATGGATTTGGTTTATTAATCAACCAAGTTAATGCTGAATGATCAGTGATAATAATAAATGATATTGTTGATAAAAGGTAAGGTCAAAAGAGTTTTACAGTCCAAATTACATCTAAACATTCCAATTCAGTTGCACTATACTTTTGTTCTTTTGTTGATGTTCTGCTTGTGTATATGATAACATGTTCTTTTCCTTCATTATCATACTGAGCTAATACAGCTTCTAATCCAAGTTCAGAGACATCTGTAAATAAAGTAAATGGTTTTGAAAAGTCTGGATATGCAATGATGGATGGTGAGATAAAATGTTGTTTTAATGTATCAAATGCTTTTTGTTGTTTTTCTGTCCAATTGTATGGTTAATTTTTCTTAAATAATTTGTGAAGTGGCACTGCTATTTTTGCAAAACCTTTAATAAAATGTCTGTAGTATGAGATAAGTCCAATGAAACCACATAATAATGTAAGATTTGTGAAAACAGGAAATTCTTTAACTTTTTCAATTTTTGCTGAATTCAGTCAAATACCTTCTTTTCCAATAATGTAATCTAAGAATGGGAGTTGATTTTTAGCAAAGTGATATTTGTCTGGTTATAATCATAATCTGACATGTCGAATCTTGATCGTTAACATTGTTGACGGTTTTTATATCACATGATAAATGTGAATCTACAGCGTCGACTTCATATAATAATTTCGGATCTTGATCGTTAACATTGTTAACGGTTTTTATGTCACATGATAAAGAGGAGCACTCTAATGAATTATTATCCGAAGATAAGTTTTGATCTCGAAGTTCCCTTTCCTTGATTCTCTCCATTATTTCATTACTAACTGTTTCTTTATATACCGTTTCAATAAAATCTAAGGTCTCAGCTGAATCGTTATCGATAACGTTTTAGGCTTCGCTAAAGATTCGGATTGGGTTGAGCTATGTTCTGTTTTGGGTATAGGATCGGGAATAGCTTCCTCCTCATCGGGTTGGCTCTTAGCCTTTAGCCGGTTCACATCGGTATGTGACGAAATATCCTTTATGGAAGTATTATCAGAATTTATTTCAGGAAGAATGGGTACTAGTAAACTTATTGAATTCTGCGAATTATTAGTATTCGCACCTTGTGAGCTCTGTTCCTTGATTAGTGAAACATCGCATTCCAGTTTCGTAAATCTGTTTTCATGTTCTTCCAAAGTTTGTTTTAACTTCGTATTTTCAGCTTTAATCTCAATATTCTCGGCCTTGACCTTGGCATTCTCGGCTTTAACTTCGATATTCTCAGCCTCGACCTCAGCAAACTTCTTTCTAAGTTCAGCGATCTGGTGAACAAGATCAGAATTCAATTCTCTCAATGTCTTAATTGTGGATTGCGGATTTTCCATTATTTTATACAAGATGCAAATATGTTCAAAAGTTTGAAAAATAAACACGTGATTTTGGGCGAACCAAGTTCGCTGAAATTTTGCCAAGACGAAGCCCATTGTTCCACAATAGAAACTTTTAATAAGCCATGATGTAGCCATGATCGTACTATGATTCATATATTTATTGCTGAGCAAACCCGAGAGGGTGCTATTACAATTGTAAATAACATAATGATTTTTCTTGATGTTTGTATTAAACTATACCAATTCTCATTCCGCTAAAGAATTAAATCAATGGCTCTGAATTCGGTGATCCAGGGCATGGTGATACTGGATATGGTCGTTCATCATTCACTTTGGCACACACTTTTGCTTTCTTCGGAGTTGATAAGCATGCAGACATCTGGTGATCTTCATCTCGAGGTCGCTTCCGGAATCCAACACTCTTAAATGATTTGATAGTCTGTCCTTTTGTTTGGGTCATCCTTATTGTCTCTCGGATTGCAGACTAACATTTAAAATACATTTGTATGTCAAAACATATATATAGAACGAAAAACATACAACTAACCTTTGCATTTAGAACAGATGCTAATATTATCAAGATTGAATCAAATTTTTCTGCTATATCTGGTACTTCCATAAGGTCGCAACGACGAAACCTGCAGACGTATCCTTTCGGATTGTCAGCATATACCAACGACATCATGAGACCTATTATAAAATTAAGTTATTGGTCAGCGATAAGCACCTGATAGATTCTTGCAAAAATCAAGTTCAGAAAAATACCTTCGTGAATAATTCCTACAGTCTGGATATTTTTGCGCACTTCCTTGTTCTTTCCATTAAATTCATTAACATATCTTTAAGCGTCTTGGGGAGTTTTAATCCAATTTCTTTGAGATACTTTGTCCCATATTCATCCGTCCAGTCTCCCCAGCCCCAAACTCATCTTTGTTACCGTTACCAATAGCTCTAAGTATCCAGTCCCCTCTGCGTCCAATTTTCCGACGTTCCCCTGATTTCCTCTTTACTTTTTTATTTTTTCGTGTTGCCGTTGATACACTCGTACTTTCGCCCCTTGATTTTTTTAAAAAAAATCTAGTCAGATCAAGAAGCTACTTTTTTAAAGTAAAAAATTACCTGACAACAGCCACTGTCATTATATCTCCGAATGCTTGGTCAAATATTATGTTCCATATATGGCAGTTATACCAATTCTCGAGGTTCGTGTTTTTGAGATTACCGTTTTCTATTTCCCTCACCCTGTAATTAAGTTTCACTTTTCAGTCAATTCACTATATACACAACCGCCTTCACAAAAACTCTGACGAGGTCCATATATAATATGTGTGCAGACGGTCTCACGGTCACAGGAACAAAAATAAAAACGACTACTTACAGTGAATATAAAGCAAGACATATGTAGTCTACATCATGATGCTTCCCACGGTTGTAATCATTACCGAACATTGATTCTTTTATCATCTGTCGGATCTCGTTCAAGTTTGTCTACGATAAAGAAAAGAGCTTGGTGATTTATTACAGTATATATATGTTTGCTAGTAACGTGTAAAAGAAACATTTATTACCTTGCCAAGGAATTTACCTAAAAAATCGTCAATTTCGTTTGAAAGTTCGGGTACCTCTGGAATAGTTGCGCTTTCTATTTCCTCGAGTTCTTTTACAGTGAAATGTTCCATAATTAATTCATCTTCGATATCAAGAATAAAGGAATGAATGGCACTATGGAACAAAATTGCAATTTATTATGATAATCCCCATGAACATAATCTAACATGCATGAATACTTACTGTTCAAACTCCAAATCATTTCCGAGTTTAAACAACTCTTCTTCGACTATTCTCCCTGATGAAAGTTTTCACATATAACTTTTGTCCATCGCCCTATAGCTTTCTCAACCTCCATTCGATTTTCATCACGCATTCTAAATGGCCCTTTCTAAATGGAAAAAGCAGAAATCCTTGTTATTATTCATAAAAAGTGCTAAAATTCTCAATGAAGATATACCTGGTTTTCCTTTGCCACTTCTTTATTGTTGATCTTCTCTTTTACCTCTTCTTGATCATCGATCACCTCCTTCAAGAGTAGATGTGGTGAGAATAGTAAACATTTACAGCTAACAACATATGCCAGATATAATTTACCTCATTATCTGCTGTATCCAATCCGAATCGGCATCATCTTGTAATTCATGATCGGCCTAATAAAGATTTTCACAATTAGCAATTATCTGAATAGTAATAATTGAGCATAATGTGGATATTACCTCGCCCTTCTCGTTGTCCGTTTCGTTAGAAATATCTTGTTCGATTTCCGATTTCCGCAAAAACAGATTGGATGATTGTCGTTCGGAAGGACTTTGAAAGTAGTTGTTGATCTCATTATTTAAATCCTACATAAAAATAAGGGACAACATTAAAATAAATTTGCAACTTAAGCATTAACTATTTCTGCTGATTCTCACAAACACTAGCTAACAAAATGCATCTGTACCTTTTCCCGATCTCTTTTTGACTTAGATGATTCGGATGATCCGGCAACGAACGTACTACCGGCTATAGTTCCGTTGACAGTCCCATATATGGACCCATGTATGGATCCATAATCAAAATAGGTCGGCTTATGGATGTGAACTTGCTTGCTCGCACATTCGCTCTCCCATTTCCTTGCAAGTTCGCGATCGGATTGAGGTTCCTGGAAATAGAAAATTCGAATATTCAGCATTATTCCTAACTACCATGTCTTAATTTACATCCGATTTCCAATCCCATCCGAACGTCAGGCAAGCTAATTGGTTTCCTGCGCCCAATGAGTCCAATGCTGGAAAGGCTAATTGACTTGAGGCATCAGGCAAGCTAATTGGTTTCCTGTGCCCCAACATTGGTTTGTGGCTCGGCTAATTGACTCGAATGGCAAAGAAGCTAGTTGATTCCTTGCCACGCCACTTGCTCAACTATATACTTTAACAAAAAAATATATTTACTTCCCTTGCTATAATACTTGTTAAGGAGAAACTGGGCTTTTTCTTTCCTATTTAATAATATTCTTAAGCCCTCTCAAGTATGTCTATTTTTAACCGGAATGATTCTTCTTCGCTTTCGGTTAAAAAACCTAAAAGGCTCCATTTCTCGGGCTTTCGTTTGAAATAATCGTGTACTTTGTTACCTGACACTTGTATTGTACTGTAAGGTTATAAGAGTTTCAACGTAAAGATTAAAAAAAATTTTTTTTTGACTTTATGCCTTAATTAATTATCGTGTCTAATTTCCGTAAAAGGATAGACGAATGATCACATGATAACTTAAATTTATTATAAACTCGATATGTAATTTAATTTTCAGTAAAAAAAATGGAGGTAGCGAATGAAATGTATGATGCTATCAAAGAGGGAGGGAATACGCGGATCCTAGGCCATTTAATGCGAGTCCCAGCATCAAGTTATTCCTTTGCTCTCGGAATAATTTCTACAGATGGAAAAGAATAGGCGCTTTTTTCTTCTAATACAAATTATATTATTCGTTATAAACTACATATAAAGGCTGGCCGTCTAAGTAAAAAAATAATAGTAACAAGATGTTTTCAAGGGAGAAAAGACATAAAAGAACACGCCTGCTTTAAGCCTGCCGAGCCCTAACCCATATATTGGCAGTTCCTTTCTCACTACTCAAAGGTGTAAATGAGTGTTGTCTATCCAAGCACTATTTTTTCTAAGTTTTCGCTTTTTATATTTTTTTCACAGTAAAAACCCTTTATTGTATCTTTTCCAATTGATCCCATCCCAAGTTTAAGAATACCAGCCAATACAATAGCACACATCTAATCTAAAGAATAATCTCTCGCACCCTTAGCTCTATCAAATATATTTGAAAATTGTCTTCCAGGAGCTTGAATAGAAATAAGAGTATTTGCTTGCTCTTTACTCAATTCCAACTGTTGGAAGCATCTTTTGGCCTGATCTCTGGTTTTTCGAGCCTGCTCTTTTGTTTTACTATTTAAAAGTTTATTATCTAACTCTTCAACATAAGTACTAAGTTGTGGTAAATTAGTTTGTAAAGTTAAATTATAATGATTTACAAATGATATAGTGATTTTTGTCATGGTTGATATATGTTAGTTGAGATAATTGAGATATTTTATATAAACTATTTTCATCTAATAATTATTGTGAAAATTCTTTTTTCAAATTGAAATTAATTATGCTTTTTTCCTTCCATGCTTGAAAAAAAAAGTATATGAATATGTATGGATTATGAATAATATAATTTTGAAATAAAATGCAAAATAATTATATTTCATATTTAAAGTCATGTAAGTTAAATATATTATTCTTAAATATAAAAAGTTTATTATATAATTAAGTCTGTTTTTTTCTGTAATAATTCTCTCTACTTTGATATTTATCTACATATTTATCACATGCATTATGTATAAATCTATTTAACTTATCACAATTTCTACAAGAAGTATGTACTGAAAATTTATAATGAATATAGCATCCATCAGATCGATAACATTCTCAATCACAAAATTTTTTAGTTTTATGAATATATGAGCAATAGTAAAATATTATCGTAATTATATATAATAAGTATGTGAATCAAATTTATATTTTTTCTTGGCAAAAATAATTAGCAAACTCAAAATTAAAAGTTTCATTTCAGAATAATTAATTTTATTTTAAAGATTTATCTATCAATTATTATAGTTTCAAAATAATACTATATATACTTTTTATCAAATCAAATAATATACATATATCAAAAAAATTTTGAAAATGCAATTTTACACAAATCTTCAGATCCAAAAATTTGTACAAAACTTTGAACCTGGTGACAATTAGTAAAGAAAAATTTTTTAAAAAATCTGCAACAAAATATAGGTTTGCGCAGATTTTTAAATTTTTTTTAAAATTCTGTGTAAAATTTCATAATGTCAGTTTCAAGTAGCAATAGCAATTTAAACAGTAGTAACAATAATAATTTTAAGTAATAATAGAATTCATAGATTAAACAATAGTAAAAAATATTTATTTTATTATAAAGTATATATATAATAATAAAATACAAATTTAAAGAAAATTATATTACATATATTCATAATCCAAGTCAGTGATCTTTTGAATAAAAAATTAATTTTTTTTACAAGACTTTAAAGAAATAAATTGCAAAAAGTATTAAAGAAACTTACAAAATTATCATAATCATTATCTTTTTTATTTTCTTTTTCTTCAATTATATTTTCAGCTTGTGATTTTTGGCATTTTTTCTTTGCCACTTGCTCTGTCTCTTTAATTTTTTTTGTTATCTCTGTTATTATTTCTAATATTGCTAATTAGTTATTTTTCACAGCTCACTAAATATTCAATATATGAATAATTTTTAATACAAATTTAAACAAATTCAAAATATTACTTACAATAAATACATGAACATGTTTTGTAACTGACTTATCTTTGCATTTGATTTCTGAACTTGACAAATTGAGAAGAATATTACAGATGACTAGGATAAATACACAGTATATTATCAGCAATATTTTTCTCTTATATTATTTAAATATTATATAACTAATATTTGTGAGCAAATTATCATTATGAAAGAGATTTTTATATGTATTTTGAGTTTGTTTGCTTTTTTCTATTTAGCGAAATGAATAAAAAAAGTATTATTATCAACTTTTACTAATTTCTCTTTACTGAATATTAAAAAGATAGTATTTCAGATAGCAGAAATATAATCATTGTGTTTACTATGATATTTTACCTTTATCTAAAATTATCAAACAAAAATAATTAGTAAAAAATCTATAGATTTATATAATTTATAATAAACTTGATGATTATATTGCTCTGTGAACATGGATATTTATGCAATATGACACACACTATTGATATAATCTTCAGCATTTTCTGCTAAATATTTCTTTAGCATTTGTTGATGATACTTCTTGAGAGTTGGAAAAAGGATTGTAAGAATTAACTTCTTGACTACCTCCTTGTATGCTTGCTATATAGAATAATAGAAAAAAGAACTTTAGTAGATTAATTTTTAACTTTGAAAATAAGTATTGTTACAATAATAATATAAAAATCACAAATTCAAAAATAATTGAAAAATATGAAAATCTTAAAAATATTCATATAATAATAAAATTTTCTAGTATTATTTTACTTTTCATTATTTTACTTTTTATTATTTTACTTTTTTATTATTTTACTTTTTAGTTATTTTACTTTTTATTTTTCACTTTTATATATATTAGTTTACTTTTTGTTATTTCACTTTTATTATTTCACTTTTTTGGATATTTCACTTTACACTTTTATATAAATTATTTCACTTTTATAATTAATTATTTCACTTTTTATAATTATTTAGTTTACTTTTTATAATTTTGAAAAATATATAAATAGGGATGCTGTTTGAATCTTAACTTAACATGTTATAACTGAAAATAAAAAAATCTCTCTTAACAAAAATTTTCTTTATATACTTCAAATCTTGTGTATAAGTAATTTTATATTATATTGAACTTATCAAATTGCTGATAGTTTTATATTGTATTGTATCAAACAAATTATTATTATTAAATTATTAAACTTTATATCATATTGTGCTAAACAAATCACTATATTGGAATTATTAAAATTGAATTATAACTATTTTACTTTTTGTTATTTGAATTTTTAATTGTTAATAAATATTCCTCACTTGTGAAAAGAACAAAGTGAAAAAGTTTTTGTTATTGTTATTACTAATTTTATTATCTTAGTTCTAAAAAATTTTACATAAGTACAGAATCATCTCTTTGAATTTCTTTTATTATCTCTTTATACTTTCTTTTCTTTTTGATCTTTACTCTTTCATAACTCTCTTATATTATTTATTACTTTTTAAGTAAACACAATTTTTGTAAAAATTGACATAGATCTTAAATATCTTCCTTTTCTCTTAATATTTTTTTTATTAATTTATATCCTCTTCCAATTTAGGTTCAGATTTATAAGGTAATTTAATGATTAGTGAATAAATTTATAATATTTTGATGCTCTCTCTGTAAATTATTATTTCAAATCCTTCTTTATATTTAAAATCTTTATAAATAATTATTATACCTTTATTGGATAATCTATTAGCTCACATTTTAACACTTATCTGGAAATTTAACACCAAGAAAATTTCTTAATAATACTTCTGTCATATTTACTTTCTATCTTTTGATACAATAACTGAATCCTTAGCTAATTTTCTTATTTGGATCCAAAAACAAAATGCAATATTTGGATCTTTTATCACTAAATAACTATTCAAAAATATCTTTAAAGCAAATCTTGTTACTATTAGAAAAAAAATTAAAAAGATGAATAATCTGACTATTAAATACTCTTATTTACCAAAACAAACACATATTTAATTACCAATTATATCTAGTCAGAACAATTCTTGAAGACTTTTATAACTTAGAATTTAGAGAAAATTTGACAGTTATTATTCTAAAATAGCCAATAATATTAAAATAATAGAAGATCAATAAATAATTCTCAAAAAGAATCTGTAGAAAAATAACAAGATATCAACTTCCAAGAACAACTAATTATACAAACTAATATTGAAGAAGAACTGGATATTTCTGATTAAGAATAATCATCAGAAAAAGAAACAAATTCTGAATAAGAAAAAATAATTAAAAAATCAGACAACAAAAAAATGGCTAATCTAAATAATATTTTTAATAAACTAAATACTCTTATTGTTGCTTTTACTATTGGACTAAGAGTTAAAAAGAATCATATTCCAATTCGTAAATTCAAGGATAATAATCAAGATTCTGTTGAATGACTCAGAGATTTTGAGATCGCTACTACTGTCAATGGAGTTACTG